CTTCTAGTGCTATGGTGCTCTGCCCATAACCTCCTTCTGCATCCACCCTCACACTCCTCCAGCCCCCTTTTCTTCCTGCCCCTCACTGCACTGACCCCCTGCACCCTCCCTTCTCACTCCACACCCTCCACAGGGACCCCTCTTCCCCACCTTTCTGTCCCCAGACAGAATGCCCCCAAAGTAGCTTTCTTTGACCAGGACCCAAGCGAACTCTCAGTGAGCAGGAGCCCGGCTCCTGTCACACAGCAGCACTGCTGTCATAGAATCTCAGGGTTGGAAGGGACCTCAGGAGGTGTCTAGTCCAACCCCCTGCTCAAAGCAGGACCAACCCCCAACTAAATCATCCCAGCCAGGGCTTTGTCAAGCCTGACCTTACAAACCTCTAAGGAAGGAGATTCCATCACCTCCCTAGGTAACCCATTCCAGTGCTTCACCACCCTCCTAATATCCAATCTAAACCTCCCCCACTGCAACTTGAGACCATTGCTCCTTGTTCTGTCATCTGCCACCACTGAGAACAGCCAAGCTCCATCCTCTTTGGAACCCCCCTTCAGGTAGTTGAAGGCTGCTATCAAATCCCCCCTCACTCTTCTCTTCTGCAGACTAATGTCTGGGGAGTACTGTACTAAAGGCCAAATGTTTGTCCCCAAGCTTCCCCTGATGTGAACTGGGACCAACACAAATGGCAGAACATGCCCTTTGTTTGCCTGGCTGTGGTGCAGGAGACAAAAACACCCATCTTTCAGCAACCATCCTCAAATAGATGAGAATAGTAACTAATCAATAAATCACCAGATTCCCTCCAACTGCAGCACCTTTCCCTTAACTAAGGCTGGATGTCGATCCTCTCCTGCTTCTGTGCCTAATGATTCTGTCCTAGTAGCTTTGCTTCGCCTGCTTTCTGTATTCTAGCTGTGCTCGCGTGTCCCCACTAGACGGCGCCGGAGATCTGTGAGTTTGCCCATTCTTCCTGTACAGAGGAGCGTGTTTGGTAAGATCATGTCTGCTCATCTGGAGGACATCTCCCACATTAACGCCCCACGAGCAATTATCCCCTATAGACCAGAAAAACATGTTTGCTGAGAAAGGAAATCCCCTGTCCCCCTCCTCTCCCTGAGGGACCCCACTTTTCATTTCTCCTCTCCCCAGGGCCCACATTAGGATCACAGTGTCACCAAGGCAAGTGTTCAAAACATCACGCGTCAGGCCATCCAGATCATGGGCTTTCTGAAGTCCAGACATTCAGCGTTTGTATCTGCTTCTGCCTTTAGGGTCTTTGGGGGCCACCTTTTCAAACTTTTCTTCACAGCCAGGAGGGCTAGAAACTTACTTCTAAATCTTCATGAAATCCCATGACTCCAGGAGCTGAGGCTGTAAGAGAACACCAAATACTGCAGGACTCCCTTTGGAGGCCATCTGCAAATCTCTCTAATCAGCCACAGGGGTTGCTTCTCAGCAATGGAGGAGAGAGCTCCAGCCCTAGGCTACATGCCCTCCCTCTGCAGCACGGCCCCCACTCTCCTTTCCCGTAATGTTAGCACAGCGGACACCACAGGTTAAATTGCAGGCTGCCCTTTAGTTTTCCAGCTAAGCCTCCTTGCACAGGCTTTTTAGATGTTACCCACATACCTGGCTAAGGGCGTGGGATCCAACAGAAGCTGTGCCTTGAAAGAGGTATTGTTCATGAACCCCAAAGCTTCCTCCCTGAGTTGGTTTAAGCTGTTAGGCGAGGGCACAAACCGTGCTTAGACCAAAGAGGATATGGTTACTGATCTGAAGGTCAGGCTGCATTTCCCCAGTTAAATAAACCTGTGGCTATGTTCAGACCATGCTAATTGTGCATCTCTGGTGTCAACAGTTGCATGTCTGGCTGTAATAGCACAGGTGCTGCACCAGAACTGGGTGTTGTGCCCATCAATGAAAGAACATTGTCTGTCACACTCCCCAACCACTCTCTCACTCCCACACACACACAGTCTCTCTCACACTCCCCCAACACACACTCCGTCTCTCTCTCACTTTCTCTCACACACACACTTCCCCAACACACACTTGTTTTATTGTTGTTGTTACTTCTTGGTACTTCCTGTTTAAATGCACAATGCATTTTAATTCTTTCAAAGTAATGTAATTTTATTCTTTCAAAGGTTGTTAAGGATTACAGTACTGTTATTTTAGTTTTTTGACTGGTCTGTGCATTTCATAATTTTATTTCTCTCATGCTTAAATTTAATTCTTTGAGTAGTGAGTTCTAAAACGCCTAACCTGTCCTGGCTGGAGTAATGATCATTATTACTTTTATTACCATATTGTGCTTTGTGATTCATTATTTAAAGTGGTACAATCAAATAATAGTATCCTTCTAGAAGGTAAATTTAGCGTGTACTCATCTTAGCAACACCAGTTTAAAAAAAATTACCTAAACACATAACTTTAGACACTGGGCAGATGAAGATCTTTTATTTTCAAATTGTAATTTTAGTTATATCTGTAAAATATTTCATAAAATTGTATGAAAATAAATGCGGAGCCAAGTATGATACCAGTAGCACTGATGGAGTCAAATGTTAGTGAGTCACATACATGACTGTGATCGGTAAACAAATGCCAAAATAATTAGAAAAATAAATTCCCTTTTTTAATAAAAGAGAAAAAAACCTTAATCACGTACGTTAAAATTAAGTAAATACATTTTTAGGGGAGTGAAAAACAATTGACGAAAATAGAGTAGATAATGAGAGTAACACAGAGGCTGTCTGTTCGAGACCGCAAGCAGATTTTAGTTATTTTTATTTGTCTCTACTAAAGCTAGTGTACAAAGTGTCAAATGTGTGTTTCTGAGATCTGTGTTAAAGTTCCAGAACTGATACCTCAAGTCTTGGGAGTGGGAATATCTTGCTGCATTAGCTCCTGATAGTTCTAAATGTACATATGAACTTAAAATGTGGTTTTAATTGGTGTCTGTATATATTTTCTATAGGAATTAGATACAGAGCTCCTGTCAGCTAATTCCTAAGTTATTATCTGCAATAAACACACACACACACACACGTCCCAGTCTTAGGTTTAAAAAACTGCAGAAGCTGCTGTAATAGGCAAGCTCTATATGTCCTTTAGGGATAACCCAAGCTAACCAGCTGGGGATCTCTTGCTTATGCTTACAAGTCTGCCCCCCTCCCTGCAGTCCAAACACAACAGATGTTCTTATAACTATACTAGCTATTTGAACAATGCTAACACACAGGTGAGCTGGACTGGTTTCCAGCTGTGCATTTGTCAGTGGTCAGTGAGACCTAGGAGCCTTGGCATGAGCTGGCACCTGGTCTGCCAGTGTCACAGTAAAGAGACACATTTTATACATGTCATCACATCAGAGGATGCACACCTGATTCACTTCATATTTATTTTCTAATGATCTAGCTCCCAAACTGCTTTTTCTCAGCACTGCTCCCAGCCACCAGAGAGAGCTTCCCCTCTTCTCTCTTCCAGCTGGGATCCCTTGACTGCAGGAGCTCCCAGATGCCCTAGCTCTCCTCTTTCCCTTACATCCTTCACTTCTCTGGCCATTTGTTTATTGCATCTCTGAGTCCTTTCTCTATATGCCCTGGCTCCACTCCCATTGCCATCCGTGGGGTGGGGGGTATCCTGGGCTATGAGGGATGCAGGTTTTGGCCCATGGTCAATGCAGGCATTACAGCTGCCACACACCTACATGGTGATTCCTGCTGCACATCCCCAAACTGCGGGGCCATATTCTGCAGGGTGGCCTCCCTGGCTGAGAATCTGGGAGCAGAGAAACCCTGGGTTCGAGAAGGAAAATGACCCCACCGGAACACTCTGTAAATGGCTCCCAGAGACGTCCCAGTGACACCCGACTGTGCAGCTCTGGGGTTCTCTTGCAGGAGTTCTCCTGCTCCTTCATTGTCACTGCGGGCAACAGTGTGGCAATGGGAATGGAGAGGGGGTGTCTGCCGGCAGAGCCTTCTGTTAGAGAGTTTTCCCTTCACCCCCGCCCCTGGTTCTTGTCACGCAGACAAAAAGCAAAAGACCAGAAGTCTGAAGTGCAGGCAATGTGAAGTTCGTTGGGGTTAGTTCCAAGCAAGCAATTCCAGAGCTCTACACACCAGCAGAGTCTGTTTCCCAGTGTTCCGTTCCTAGCTCTGACGCCGCAGAGCGTTTGCCCTGCGTCCCCCTTCCCAGCTCTGACGTCGCAGAGCGTTTGCCCCACATCCCCCTTCCCAGCTCTGACGCCGCAGAGTGTTTGCCCCACATCCCCCTTCCCAGCTCTGACGCCGCAGAGCGTTTGCCCCGCGTCCCCCTTCCCAGCTCTGACGCCGCAGAGCCTTGCCTGTGTCCCCGTTCCCCACTCCCCCTTCCCATTTCCCACCTCCTCCTTCTTAGCAGGCCCAAATATACCTGCAATGCATGCCCTCCAACCCACCCCTTACCACTTATGGTCATGTTCCGTTTTGAAGGGTTGTGAGTCTAGGGTCTTCGTCCCACCTCTTTTGTATCCCATGGGAGGGGTGAGGTTGTGCTACAGTCAGGGACAGGCATTTCTTTGGACTTTTAGTGTTTCATACCTTCCCCCCACAACCCCTCCTTGCCCCTCCCAACCGGTTTCTTGGCCTTGGCTTGAGAGAAGAGCCACGTAGCCTTCCACTGTATGCTCATATAATCACACTCCCACCATACCCTGTAACACTTTAGCTCTATCCCTTATCTTTTCTCATTGTACTAAAAGACCTATCTGGTTGTGGGAAATGCAACACATGGTGTCTTTGTTCATTGTTCTTCACACATATTAGTATAAGCTATAAGAGTATCAAAAAGTCAAACCCAAAATTCTATCTCAGGCTGACAAACAAGCCTATGTGCTAACACCTTCCATGGCTTTCTGAATGGGAGCCTGACAGGGCTTGTGCCCATGGTGGTGAAGGGCCCAGATTCAATCCCCATCCATGCCCATGGTGTCTCTGTGTGGCCATGGGTTCCCTTACCCATTGGTGCAGGCTGTGCAGGAGGTGAAGGAGAACTTGACCGTGGAGGAGGAGGTGGCTCTGGGCCTGGGGGAGTCGGGAAGGAGATTCTGGTACCTGAGGTTGCACACGGTGACCATGGAGCTGGAAAAGACAGAGCTGGACCTGAGGCAGCTCCTCAGTTAGATCCTGGGAAACCCAAAGGAGACAAAGGAGAGTGTGTGATTCAGGCCCCACAGACCCCAGATGCTTCCCAGAGAGGAGGCTGTCCAGTGCCCAGACACAGCCAGCAGGATCCCCCCAACACAGCTGGGTCCTGTCCTCCCAGTTCCTTCCTTCCCCTCAAACTTGGCCCACCCTCCAGCCTCTACCAGCTGCCCCCTACCTCTCTAACCCCAGTCTCAGCTTACCCTCTAGTCCCTCAATTCCCAACCTGTCCCCTATCACTTACACCCCAAATTTCCCCTTGGCTGCTGCCTAGTCCTCAGCCCCAGGAATCCCTGCTCTCTGCTGCCCCCCTGATCTCTCCCCCAGCCCAGGTAAGGCCCCTGCTCATCTCAGGTCTCCTGCCCTCCCCACAGGTATCTGGACCCATGTCTCACTCACCATGACCCTTTTCTCCAGGCCGCTTTAGAGCTGGACATCTCCAGGATATCCTGCCTACTCTTCTGTGCTGCGAAGTGCACAGGGAATGACGTGCAGAAAGTGGATCTGCTCACCCATGTCCTGAACCCTGCGCGATGGGAGGGGGACATAGAGAGTCTGATAGCCAGGGACATTCAAACCGGCTCCGGGTCTCATGCCCACCGTGGGGGAGGCTAGGAAAGGCCCTTTCCCAAAACCAACACCTCCTCCAGCAGAGGCAGGGACAGGAGCTGGGACATGGCCTGTGTGGGGAGGGGACCCTGGATTGTGTGGAACAAATGTCCCTTTCTAAGGAGTTCCAGATCCTAGCAGATAAGTGTCCCCATTAGGAGGCTGTGGATCATTCGGGACGAGACCCCACCGGGAGCGGGGATGGGATGAGGGGCAGGATGGACTCTGTTCTCACTCAGGGCTCCACCCAGGAAATGCTCCATGACAACCTTCTGGGCAGCATCCTCCATGGCCAGATACTCCTCCTTCTCCTCTCCTTCCATGGCCAGGTCCTCTTCCTCTTCATCCTACTCAGTGGTCAATTCCTCCTCTTCCTGCACCTCCTTTGTGGACAGGTCCTCTTCCTCCTCCTGCATGGCCATGTTGTCTTCCTCCTCCTCTCTAGCTGGGTGCTCCTTCTTTTCTGTGCCTAGCTCCTCCTTCTCCACTGGAGACAGATCCTCCCCCTTCTCCTGTTCTCTGTCATAGCCAGGACCTCATCATCAACATCCTTCTCCATAGCCAGCTCCTCCTCCTCTTCCTCTGTGGTCCTGCTTCTCATCTTCTCCACCTTCTATGTTGGCAAGTCCTCCTCTCCCTCTTCCTCTTCCACCATGGTCAGGTCCTTCTACTCTGTGGCTGGGTCCTCATCAGTATCCTCCTCCTGCATGGACAGCTCCTTCTCCTTCTCCTCCTCTGACAGGTCACTCAGATTGTCTGTATCAGGGAGAGAAGGGCAGAGGGTAAATACTGCTGCGGGGAGGAAGGTGAAGGACAGGGGCTCAGAAAGAAGAGTTCATGTTCCCACATAAGGGCCCACACTGCCCCTCCCACAGACCCCTCAGCCCCAGAGCCCCATGGCAGAGAGATCCCCACACTGCCCCTCCCACAGACCCCTCAGCCCCAGAGCCCCATGGCAGAGAGATCCCCACACTGCCCCTCCCACAGACCCCCTCAGCCCCAGAGCCCCATGGCAGAGAGATCCCCACACTGCCCCTCCCACAGACCTCTCAGCCCCAGGGCCCCATGGCAGAGAGATCCCCACACTGCCCCTCCCAGAGACCCCTCAGCCCCAGGGCCCCATGGCAGAGAGACTCCCACAGCGCCCCTCCCACAGACCCCTCAGCCCTATGGCAGAGAGATCCTCACACTGTCCCCCCACAGACCCCCTCAGCCCCAGGGCCCCATGGCAGAGAGATCCCCACACTGCCCCCGAGCCCCATGTCAGAGAGATCCTCACACTGCCCCTCTCACAGACCCCTCAGCCCCATGGCAGACAGGGCCCTTCACTGTCCCATCCTCCCTGGGAGTTGCCTGCCCACGGAGCATCAGGGACCCACTTCCCAGCAGCTCCCCCCATGCCCCACTGCAGGGGCTGGCTCTGTGACTCCTGCTGACGTCATTGGACTCACGTGGCTCAGGCCAGACCCCTGGGCTGGGATCCCCCCAATGACTCTGACAGAGTGACTGGGTGTTAATGGCCCCTTACTCCTCCCCATGCCCAGGGGGTCTCCTCACCTGCAGGGGAGGAGCACTCAGCCTCCGTGCTCCAGGGGAGCAGGCCGAGCTGCTGGTGCTGGGGCAGGGATCCCCCATCTCCTGCCCTGGGGAGGCAGGGAGGAGTCCAGGGAGTGGGCCAGGCAATGCCTCTTTCTGGGCCACGGGGCTGGGCTCCTGGGGGCTCACAGCGTGCCCGCTCTTGGGGTCTCTCAGGAGTTGTCTGCTCCTGCTGCTGCAGGGCAGGGCGCTTCCTCTGCACAAGAAGAGTTTGGTTCCCAAGATGGCGGGGGAGGGGGGGACGTGGAGCAAACAGAGCTGGGGCTCCATGGTGCAACTGGCAACGAACCAGGGCCTACTCCTGAAAAGTGCCTCCACCACAGAGCTGTCCCCAACAGGTAACGCCTCTAGGGCTTCTGGCATTTGCACGACATGTGCCAGAGCCACGCCCTATACACACAGCCACAGCACCCCCAGGCGTTAGTGCTTCCAAATCCAAGGCAAGTTTTTGGTTTCCCTCCTTCGCGTCCCGGTGTATGTCCATTCCCCGGCTTCGCCACATCCACTCACAGCACTGCCTTCAGCTCCACAGAGAGCTGCCCCAAAGCAGCCGTTTCCTACAAGCCAGAGAGATTCACAGGTCAGAGTGCAGGTGCACATGTGACGGGTCCTTCCTGCAGGGTGGAACACATTGTTCCAGCCAGGTCTGGGAAGATGGAAGAGCATGCAATAGTCAACGCTCTCATCTCACAACCCGTCAGGGGAAGAGCCTGTGTTTCAGAGATTATTCATCTCCCAGCTAGATGGAGCCTTGTTAACCTGCAATGTTTAGGAAAACACTGGTGATACCCAGGCCAAAAGCCTGAGCAGTGGAGCGTTGAGGATGTAAATGACTTAGGGTTGCCAACTTTCTACTGGCACAAAACCGAACACCCTTGCCCCACCCCCTGCCCCGCCCCTTCTCCGAGGCCCCACCCCCTATTCACTCCATCCCCCCCTCTCTCTGTCACTCGCTCTCCCCACCCTCACTCACTCATTTTCACCGGGCTGGGGCAGGGAGCTGGGGTGCGGGAGAGGATAAGGACTCCAGCTGGGGGTGCGGGCTCCTGAGTAGGGCCAGAAATGAGGAATTCAGAGTGCGGGAGGGGGCTCCAGGCTGGGGCAGGGGGGTTGTGATGCAAGAGGGGGTGAGGGCTCCAGCTGGGGGTGCGGGCTCTGATGTGGGGCCGGGGAAGAGGGATTTGGGGTGCAGGAGGGGGCTCTGGGCTGGGGGGTTCAGAGTGTGGGAGGGGGCTCTGAGCTGGGGCAGGAGGTTGGGGCGTGAGGGCTCCGGCTGGGGGTGCGGGCTCTGGGGAAGAGGGTTTGAAGTGCAGGAGGGTGCTCTGGGCTGGGATCAAGGAGTTCGGAGAGTGGGAGGGAGATCAGGGCTGGGGGTGAGGCATGGGGGGGGCTCAGAGGTGCGGGCTCTGGGAGGTGCTTGTCTCCCCCTCCGGCTCCTATGTGGAGGCATGGCTAGGCAGCTCTGCACACCGCAGGCACCGCCCTCGCAGCTCCCATTGGCCGTGGTTCCTGGCCAATGGGAGCTGCGGGGGCAGCGCTTGGGGCGGATGCAGGGTGCAGAGCCCCCTGGCTGCCCCTACGCATAGGAGCCAGAGAGGGGATGTGCCGTCTGCTTCCCGGGAGCCGTACAGCGTGGAGGCTAGCAGGGAGCCTGCCAGACAGTCAACAGCCCAGTCAGCGGTGCTGACCAAAGTGGGTGTTCCGATCGAAAACCGGACACCTGCTCACCCTAAAATGACTGGGAATCACTTGACAATAACATTACTACAGCCCTGTTTCCTGGCAGATAAAGAGAGAAGGAAAGAGCTGCACATTTGGCAATGAGGAAACTCATAGTGAAGACTCCACAAACAACCTCAACTCCACCTTCCCACCCAGCCTTGTTCTAGAAACCAGGCAACTTTGCCCACCCACCTGCGCTATGTTCTTTTCCAGTGTGGGCCAGAAATCCTCACAGGCTGTGGCTTCCCTTCCCGATGCAGCTCACAGACTCTCCTCCAGGCCACCGGCTCAAACTGGGCCTGTGGCACCTAGATCCTCAGCAGCCCCATCCCAATTCCCCTCTACACTCAAGAGGTGTCCGTGTGTCTCACCTTCCTCTCCATGTACCGTACAGTAGAGTACTGCAGCAGCAGGACTGGGGTCCCACAGGACCCTCTGCCATAATAGCCGGAGCAGGTAAAATGTACTTTGTTGCAGGCGGGATTGGGTGGGCAAAAAAAACAGATTGTGGTAATTTGTGGGAAAACAAAATGCAGCTGTGAGCAGTTTTTCCATGAAATGTTTTTCAGAAAGGAATAATGATCCTGGCACATAAAGAACTTGACTGGTATGTTTTAAAGTTCTAAAAATGGAGCATTCCCTCAACCAGATGGTGGCTGAGACGGTGCAGGGTAGCCCAGGTGAGGGCTCAGACACCCCCACACATTAAACTCAGCCATGTCAGAGCAGTCATGCTGGTACCAGTGCAGGGTTACAGCCATGAGCTAAATGCTACCTCATAATGCACCGTGCTGCTACCTGTCCACCTGTCCTCCTGGGCCAAGGGGTCCCACCCGCCGGTAGCTACATACCAGTCCATCTCAGCCAGCCCAGGGCCCCAGCCCCATTGTGGGCGGATTCCATGTTGGACATTTCTCTTCTCGCACGGTCCTGGATTCCAGCACAAGGCTCTGAGAGGCTCTGTGGTAGAGCTCTCTTCTCTGCCAGGGTCTCCCAAACTCTCACTGCCTTGGGGAAGCAGGATTTCACCCAGGAATCGCTACACACACATATATCACTAGCACATACCAAAGCTGTTCTCGCCCCATGAGCTAGAGGTGAACAGAGGTGCACCAGCAGAATTGCATTTGTTTGTAGACACTTCCATATGTCCCTCTTTTCCACGGAGCAGGTCAGAATATTTCAGTCAACAAAAAAACCTCAAAATGTGGCTGTGTTTTGAAAACAGGTTTTGGGACCCCCCTTTTCCAGGCTCAGCCTAAATGACAGAGACCGGGTGGAGGTGAAACAGAGCAGCTGGGGGAGGGGAGACTCAGGAGGGCCTGTTTAGGTGCTGGGTGGTGTTATGATAACTGGGTCTTCACATTTACTCTAAGTGTGAGCTCCCTTGTAAAAAGGACATGAAAGCTCATGAAATGTTACAATAGCAACAAATGTTAGTGAAAAGTCAGTCAAGTTGCTTTCAGTGATGAATGTTATGATCAGGTGCAAAAGAACCAGACAGAGACTAAATTAGTCCAAACAAAAAGGGCCTGCTGATATGATTCGAAGACTATTGAAAGCATGTGGAACCAGAAGTGAATGGACCAAAATTGGTGTGACGGATAGTAGGCCTAACTGGTGGACAAAATAATGAGGGAGAGGAACTATGCAGCCCACTTTCCCCCTTTTGGGGTTTCTTAAAAAAGAGACTCCAAAAGCGGACTGTATTTTCTATTCATTTCCTGTCCCATCTGGCATCTTGCCTCATCTCATCTTCCCTGACCCCAGGGAGAAGGAGCAGACCAGACTGAAAGGCTTTCTTCCCGGAGGAAGGCCAGCAGGTCTTGCTCTTGTTCTAGGACCTTTGTTTTTCACCTGGGTGTCCTGAAAGTCACCATCACATCCAGTCCTCGGCCCATCAGCGGGGACACCTAATTGCCAGCATCAGAGAGACATGTAAGATCCTGCTCTGTCTCCCTTCCCTTCTGCGTTACTTTCTGCCCCACTATTTCCTTCCTCCTATCCTCGCTCTCTCTGGACTTTTCATCAAGTCCTGCAATCAATTGCATTGCATCAGCACAGTGAGACGAGATGGCCACAGCCCTGTCCTGCCTAAGGAAAGAAGGCCCAGCCAGACGACATCCCTGAAAGTGAACCAGGTCCAAGCAACAGGTGCTGTGGTTGACCTGCCACCAAAGCGTCAGCTGTCCCGTGCTCCAAAGACATCAGCCAAAGCCGTATTTTCCCCACCTTTTGTATCCTGTCTTTCCTCCACCTTGTGTCTGTCTGTTAGAAACAGGAGAAGCAAATACCCTTTACACAACAGGACTGAACGTCAAATTAACCCTTTCCTTTTCATCAGAGACAGGTTGTTCTGGAAATAAGAGACTCTGATGTTTTGTCTCCAAAACTCATTTTAGAATGAGTGAGTTTGGGAGTTTGCCAAGGAACCGAGGACACCACAGTCTCTGTAGAACCGCCCCTCTCCAAACCCTTATAACTCTGTTTAATGTCAGACCGTGGAAGAGTTTATCCACTTCTTTAACTCTTTTGACCTGGGAGAGCAATACAATAGTGGCTGGGGAGGTGTGGCCTTTCTCAGGCTACCCGGCCCTGCAGGTACTGGCCAGGGGAGCAGCACAGTGTGCGCTGCACCACGGACCCTGCCAGCATCCCCTGTGAACCCGGCATGGACCACAGGACGGACCACACTCCCTGGAAGGCACTGGGGGTCAGTGTGAGCCGTTAGCTGCTGCCCTTCAGGCTGGGTCTGTGACTCAGAGGGTGCAGTTCCTGCCCTGCTCCCTGCCCTCTCCTGCAGACAAGCAACTGACTGAAACTTGGCACTGGCTGCACTGTGCAGGCCAGCGCGGATGGGCACAGCTCTGGACCTCTAGGCCCATGGAAGCCCCAGGTGCCTCCCGCCGCCACGGTGTCCCTACCACTCTGCGGAGTCATGACTGAGACGCCAAAGAAAGCGAAGACAGAGCCATGACCTAAAGGGGGCTCACGGGCCTGGGGACAGCAGGCCCAAGCACCAGTCAGGGCCACACATCAGCTGCTCTGAACTACAGTACAGAGTCCTCGGTGGGCAGATAACATGGTCTGGGAAGCTTTCACTGGCTACAGAGAGATTCCTGTGCGCTGCCGAACCAGTCCCAAGTCTCTGAATGACCCCGACTCTGAAGTGTGCACTGTACAGCGTGTATGCAGCCAACCGATGAGTGAGTTGGTGTGGATGATTGCCCATAAGGAGCCACTGTTTCCTCTTCTCCAATTTCTAGTGCGTCTCTTGTTCTCTGAGGCAAGCTGTGTTCTTGTTTCCCTGCCTGTTCATAGGCTAGCGATCTATACAGACCAGACACATAGGAAGCAGAGACAGCCCTGCTAAACTGATGGGCCTAGCTACACCAAGGATGATTTTAACAGAGCTGGACAAATCCTTCAGGAGAGGTGTGCCGCAAGACGGCCGTTCACCACTACAGGGTGCCAAGGGACCTGTTTGTTTCCCCAGAACTTTACAATAAGAATAAAGAGCAGTGCCATGTGAGTGAAAACACCAGCCCAGTCTAGGCTGCCAAACAACTCCTCTTCCCCGCATGTCTGGCACGGGTGGGTGCTCCCGCTGGATAGTGGCACTGGCTTGCCGTCTAGAACAGCCCACATCTCCCACCACCATGCTACTGGCTGCTAGCATTCACCTGGCAGCTGCAACAAGGCCCTTCCTGAATTCCAGGGGAGTTCAGAGAAGTGGCACCGTTGGGATTACACTGAGCCGCAAAATTTATGTGTCTTGTTCCTATAGTCCCAGATTTCTAGTTAGTCAACCAAAGAGGCAAACACCTAAAACATCTCTTGAGCGGGACTTCCTTTCTTCGGCCTGTCCAGATAAGGTATGTGCACCCGCAGTGAAACCAAAACCACCAGCTTTGTGAGTATTATTGTAGGCTGCAAAACTCTCCAGCAAAGAGAAACATCAACAACAGCAAGAAATGCTGAAGACAAGCCCGGCAGCTCCTCTGGGAAAGAGGACAAAAGGAAACGGATGAAAGGTTGTGTCTGGACTGTTCTCCGCATTAGCTTTATTTTTAATTTCACACCCCACTCGCAGCACCCAGACCAGTGCCCACTCCAAGCTGCAGCAGGCAGCTCCCTGGGACTTTCAGCCGGCCAGCCACACCCTGTCTCCAGACACACTGATAGTCCTGGATCCTGAGGCTATATCTCCACTAGCATTTATGTCAGCAAAGTTTTTGTCACTCGGGGATGTGAAAAAACACCCCCCTCCCAAGTGACATAACTTTTGCCGGCGTAAGCGCTGATGTGCACAGCGCTGTCGGCGGGAGACGCTCGTTGAGCTGGTTTTATTATGTCGACGGGAGAGCTCGCTCTCTCGTTGGCATAACGTGGCTACAGGCGCAGGTGTATCAGTCCAGCTGCACCATTGTACAGTTGTAAGTAGAGACATAGCCTGAGAGATTGCTGTTACCTGAGGGAGGCAACCTAGTGACCGAGGATGTGGAAAAAGCTAATGTACTCAATGATTTTTTTGCCTCTGTCTTCACAAACAAGGTCAGCTCCCAGACTGCTGCACTGGCCAGTACAGCACGGGGAGAAGGTGACCAACCCTCTGTGGAAAAAGAAGTGGTTCGGGACTAGAAGATTGGGCCGAAAAAAACCTGATGAGGTTCAACAAGGACAAGTGCAGAGTCCTGCACTTAGGACGGAAGAATCCCATGCACTGCTACAGACTAGGGACCGAATGGCTAGGTAGCAGAAAAGGACCTAAGGG